ATTTTAATTTTTTCCAAGATTTATCCAGGGAAATAATGCATAAAATTTCATTATAAGTTTATTTATCTCATTAATAAATCTCCAAAATTTATTTAATTACTGCATTTAGAAATAATTTTTCCATTTCAATCTCCAAAACATACAATGTACACAAAGGTAGATGAAGACTAAAGTTATATGGACAGAAATCTACACAAATCTACTATGCAATCTTGAAATTTCTTTTATTTATAATTACTGTACACCTATTACTAAATTCTTATTAGAATTGTAATAATTTTCAAAGAACTGTATATACAGAACTATAGAATTTTTATGAGTGTTATTTCCAGAGAACCACTAATTTGATCCTTAATGGATCAAGTGGTAAGTTCCTTCATGCAGCCTTTATAATGCTGTCTAACTTAAATTTTCACAAGTTAAAATAAAAATATTTATGATTATGTTTTTTATTATTAACTTTACTGCAAGTGGATCTATAATTGAAATGAAGCATAAAATTAGGCCAAATCACATGTACTGTCTCCTAGTATTTATTGCATAAGTGTAAACAATGAGTTTGCCTATGGTTTACCTTTGGCCATTTTCAAGGTTTAATCTCACAACTGATTCACAGGCCAGACTTTATTAGTGATGGCTTGATCAATTGTTCTTAACAACCTGCAGACCCACATAGTTATCATAAAGGGTCCTGGTAGTACAATCGGGTTCGTTCTCGACGCACAACAGAGAATACCAGGTTTGAATCCCGGGCGGGACAGAAATGGTAGGGCACATTTCTTTTCATCTAATGCCTCTGTTCACCTAGCAGCAAGTAGGTACTCAGGAGTTAGCTTATTGTGGGGTTGCATACTGGGTTGGATCAGTAACTTGACCCTGGGGGGACCTCAATAAAAAACCTAATGTATGAATACATTCTTGCTTCCTTTCCCCAGACACACTGAATTATAACTAAGCTGATCTGTAACTTCCTGCAGAAACCTGTCTCTATTCCTTCTTGTAAACTTCAACCTGTCATTAAAGATATCTCACCTGCCTTGTAAGTAATTATTATAAGACGGCATCAAGCTGAGAAAACTTTGTGGTACCTGCCATTAAAGGGAAGGCGCGTACAGAGAAATAGTCTAAATGAGTTAGCATAAGTGATTGGAAAAGTAAGATAATTGGAATGGCATTTCCTGGTTTAAAGGTTCTTATTATCCACCCTGTCATATTCTTGGCTAATGCCAAGTTTGATGTGTTTAGTTCACTAAATGTTACTTGTCTGACATTATTAATGTATAAATTCTTTACATGTCATTGCCAGTCTATGAATATTGCATATATATTGTATCTTGTATCCAGTTGCATTCCTGAATTTTTTTTTTTATATTTCACCATCTTCTACCAAAGAAATTTTCATATTGATTTTGGATTCATATGCAAATGATGGCATGAGTGTTAGACTATCGACATATTAATGTAGCTTAAAGAATCTAGCCATGCTAATAATATTCTTATTTAATAAATAAAGAATTCTGTGAAGATAAAATTGAAAACTTGAAACAAACTTCCTGTCAATTGGTTAGTGGCCCCATTAAATGCCCTTTTCCAGTTAAGCAAACCAATGTCGGAATTTATGTTGAATAAGTTTTACTAGGATTTGTACAGAACCTTAATACATTACATGGATATTTAAAAAAAAATATGGCACTTTAATTTTACTGGCATCTATTTTGCCAAAACAATTAAACTAAGATGGCAAGATGAACAGTAATGCAATGTTAGAAGAGTACATTTTCCTTTATTCAGTAAATATGTAATAAAAACACTAATAATGAACTTATGTAGATACTGACTGAAAGTATTAGAGCAACCAAGAAAGGAATTCCTGTTTGCTTCTAAGGTTTGTCTGCCAATGCACAGAATTTTATGGAATTTTTAAAAAGTACAAAATAATTTTCAAAGCTACCACTAGGGAGCTTCTAAAAATCTGCCACAAATTGGCAACGCAGCTCTAAATAATACAGTGCACTGGAACACGGTAAAATATATTCATGAGCTTCAATAATGTGGTTGCTACCTTAGGCAAGTGTCCAGAATTCCTCTAAACATAGCTAAATACCAACCTGATATCTGACACAAACAGCATCCTTTTCAAACCATCACTGCCAGATCATTCATGAAGGAAGGAAGACACAGGAGAATTCTCAAATGAGCCTAGAATGTCCATCAGAAGGCAAATTCAACTACACACAAAACACTTCCAAGCAATACTTGGCTTCAAAGAGACCCCAAAGTATTTATCTGCAAAATTACCAGTAAGCTACACTGTGGGTACACATACCTGCCACCAGATGTCACAACCAGCACTTTTTTCACAATACTGTATTGGTATCTTGTTACCTTGATTTACAGGATATGCAGCCATTTTCAGAGTGATCAGGCTATGTCCGAATTTTTCATGTAGGGCTGACGAACTTGCACAGCCTCAATCGTGGCTCATATGCCTCGGGTGGAGGCTGGTGGATACCGTGAATACCGTGGATACCAGGGGATTTACCTACTCATATCCACCTCCCTGGGTCTTCTTGGCTTTGGGCAGTTTTTCTCCTAACGGATCTTGCATGGTGCCCGAGAGAACACTTTTGGACCCCTGTAATCCTGGGAGACCCTGTGAGCTTTCCTAGTCAAGTTCTTGTACACCAATGTGTACAAGACTACAATACTGTACGTATTGTAGTCTCCGTGGTGTAGTGGTAAGACACTCGCCTGGCATTCCGCAAGCGCTTTGTCATGGGTTCGTGTCCTGGCCGGGGAGGATTTACTGGGCGCAAATCCTTAACTGTAGCCTCTGTTTAACTCAACAGTAAAATGGGTACTTAGTTGTAACAATGATTCTACTCGGCGGGGATCATATTCCAGGGACCTGCCTGAAATGCTACGCATACTAGTGGCTGTACAAGAATGTAACAACTCTTGTATATATCTTTTAAAAAAAAAAAAAAAAAAAAAAAAAAGACATATTGCTGGAAAAACCCTAGCAGCCCTGGCATACTAGGTTTGTCCTGCCACCACAGGAATTCATCTGCTGGGGGTTTTACTGTTCAACAAGTTAGTGAGGTTTTGAGCCATTTCTCATTTGCCTACAATGTCCTTGACCCTGTGTCTTTGGCTGGATGCTTGCTAGAGCTTTGGGCTTGTATTGATTATGCTCCTCTTACCAATAGGGCTCATCCCCCATATAGGGCTCTTTCCTCAAGGGGTTTTGTTTCCTTGGTGCTTTTTGCACCTCGGTTGTTCATGTTCTTTCTAGACACTTCAGGCATAAGCTGTGGGGTTAGGGGCATCTGTATATGGTTGAGCATTTTTTTCCAGTTTAACTTGGAGGCAGGTGTTATGCTTTGATGTGGTTTTACTTTTCCCTTGTATTGGGTTTGGCTTTTTTTCAGTACTTGGTGTATGCTCATTAACCCCTACACTGCACCCATGTTTATATATGAGAAAGGCCCAGTGTGCAAGAAATATCAAAAATTGTTTTCTAATACCCTGTATTGTTAAAATGTGTACCCTGATCATGGGAAAAACAAAAAATAATTGTGTGACTTATTTTGGCTGTTATGAAGTGAGAAAATCTCACGATGGCATCATAATTGAGGAACCATTATGAGGTGATCTCCCTGTGAAGGTTACCTAGACCAGGTGAGGGGAGGGGGCAGGAGTTGTAGTAATTACCGAACTGTAGTTACAGAATGAGAGCTACGCTCGTGGTGTTCCGTCTTCCCAGCACTCTTTGTCATATACTGTAACGTTTTGAAATTACTGACGGTGTTGGCCTCCACCACCACCTAACTTGTTCCAACCATCTACCACTCTGTTTACAAAAGTGAATTTTCTTATATTTCTCCGGCAGCTTTGTTTCGTTAATTTAAATCTATGATCTCTTGTTCTTGATGTTCCGGGTCTCAGGAATTCTTCCCTATCAATTTTATCGATTCCTGTTACTATTTTGTACGTAGTGATCATATCGCCTCTTTTTCTTCTAATTTTTCTTCTAATTTTTCTTCTAACTTCTTCTTGTAGTGAAGATATTTTCACATACTCCATTTTATTTCAAATGTCTCACACAGTTATGGTGTGAGAAATGTTACTTAGTTTTTTGCAGTAACATTTTTATAATAAAATGTGGGAAACATCAGAATGCTAAAATATACAGTGGTACTTCAGTTTTCGAATTTAATCTGTTCCTTGAGACAATACGAAAACCAAAAATACGAAAATTGAAAAGAATTTCCCCATAAGAAATAATGAAAACTGAATTAATCCGTTCCATACCCCCAAATATATTAACTAAAAAAATAAATTTTATACAGAATAATACTCTTAGGTACCTTAAAGGGTATAAAGGAGCCTGACAGCTGAGTGGACAGCGCTTCGGATTCATAGTCCTGAGGTTCCGGGTTTGATCCCTGGTGGAGGCAGAAACAAATGAGCAGTTTCTTTCACCCCGATGACCCTGTTACCTAGCAGTAAATAGATACCTGGGAATTAGACAGCTGCTAGGGGCTGCTTCCTAGGGGTGTGTGTAACAAAAAGGAGGCCTGGTCGAGGACCAGGCCGCGGGGACGCTAAGCCCCGAAATCATCTCAAGATAACCTCAAGATACCTTACCTTTATTGAGGACTCTTGTTGGCATATGGAAGACAGTGAAGAAGGAGGAGAGGAGGAGAGGGGTTCAGTGTTTGGAAGGGGAGTCCCTCTTCCATTATACCAGCAGCGATGACATTTCTGTGGTACTCACTCTCTTACATTTTGCAGGCATACCACTAGGACCTGGTTGTTGCTAACTGCTTGCCTGTCTTACTAAGAATCTGTCTATAGACACTTGTTTTTCCCTACATTTTAACATTTGTCTGTAATGAGACAGCACATTGTCTCATTATGAATGATCTCTTTTTTTTCCTCTATTGTCATCCTCAACTATTTTCTTAGGTTGAACATTACTATTGACTTTCTTGGAACCCAAGGCATGATATATAATAAGAACTTTTATGTTTAGAAATAAAAAAGCACACAAAAACAATGAAATTCTTCACAAAGAATTCAAGTGCAATCATCACTAGGTGATAGACACTGGTAAACTGGAGCACCACGCGTTCATTGGACCCGTACGTGTATAAACACACTCCGAAAACCAAGGCAAACAACAAGTACCAAATCAAATTTTTTGAAGAAATTGAGTTCGAGTACCAAAAAATATGAAAACAGAGGTTCGACTGTATTCGTTCGCATGTTTTGCATGAAGTTGGAACTGCAGAAATTTAATATATATTTTCTTCATATTTTTAATGCTTTTACCAAAGTTTTATCAAGTATAAAAAATCATTGAGCTACCAAAATAGTTATTTATAATCACAGAATGTATAGAACAAGAATAACCTGATTTGTTCATGTCACTAACACGAGCAAAATATTTTCTTTGAACAATAAACTATATTTTCATGCATCATTACAAACCACTAAGTAGTTATGGTGTGTGTAGTAATCTTGTAACAAGTTGTCAGAGTTCAGCTGAGCCCCGCTTGTCTTGCGCAAAGTTTCTTTGAGGAATAAAACATGCTGTTTTGCTTTTATTAAACTTTTCACAAACATTATTTATAACTACATACATTTTTATGTAACTTAACAAGCCACTAAGCAGTTCTGGTGGGTGTGGTAATCCCATGATCCAAGTACAGCATAGTGCCACACGCTAGTCAGTTACCAATGGAATCTGACACAGCAAAATGCCTCCCAGTACACTATACACATTGCTAACTCTAGCCACAACATTCCTATTATTATCAGCATCCTGGTCACTAAATCCTGAATATGAGCAACTTCCACAAGTTTATTGTCTAAAGAAACATGAGGTCCCATTTCGTGATGTGTAAAATCTCTAAACTGCAGCTGTCTGCCTTGTGTTGAAATCTTTGTAAACAACATTGTGGTCACTGATTTCTGAGCCTTGTACATGATTTTTGTCACAGTCAGGGCACAGACATTATCATTCTTAAATAATGCCGGTTATTTATTTCATCATTATTAGAGTGATGCTCTAATAAGCTGCATAAAAGTGCTTTGAGCAGTTGCTACATGAGCTACTCATGATCACTCTCTCAGTACTGAGGCCTTTCACACCCAGGATAGTTACCATATGGTATCTGTTTACTGGAGGCCTGAGGAAGCAAATGTGAGCCCATGTACCCATGTAAGTTTTTAATCGTATATGGTACTTTAAAACATCCCTGACTGTGTCATGTAGTTTATGGACAGTTGATTGAGAACATCCCTTGTGTCACGAAGTGGAGGTGAACATAAAAATAAAAGAACATAAGAACAAAAGAACATAAGAATAAAGGAAACTGTAGAAGGCCTATTAGCCCATACAAGGCAGCTTATATAAGGCCTATTAGCCCATGCAAGGTAGCTTATATATATATGCACTTAAACTCATTCACATATGATGTATGCTATCCTACACTTGAAACAATCCAGTCTCCAATTTATATCCATTATTTTGAATTTTTATTTTGTATCCATATATTTTAAATTTTGTTTATATCTCCTTTGTTATAACCTTTCATCATTTATATAGTTAACATAAGAATCTATACTTAGCACAGGAACTTAGTTGTAAGTATACACATCCGCCTTCAGGCTTTTTTTTTTTTTCTTTTTTTTTTTTTTGGGTGGTTATTGCCAGTGTTTTGGTTCAGTGCTTTGGTATAGTTCTGTTTTTACTCTTCCATGGTGTTAGCTTTTGATATTATTTTGCCTTTCTTTTCTTCTACACATCTTTCATGGTCTTGTCTTTAATTCAATATGCTTGGACCTCTGAGGAGGCAGTTTTCTTCATCCCCTGTGATCTCTTCAGGCTCCACTTGAACACTATAACTTCCTACTTGGGTTGGACTGTAGAGCAACGGTCTCACTTTATGCAGATTGGCATTCAATTCTCAACTCTCCAAGTGGTTGGGTCTGATCCCAAATCCTTATCCTGATTCCGTCTAAGTGCTATATAGTCGTAATGGCTTGGTATTTTCTCCTGATACTTCCCTTGGCAACTCGGGTGTTTCCTTGTGTATTTCGTCCTAGATTGCACTGATCTTAGGGATTCTGCTGAAGAGAGCAACTAAGTGATTTCAGCTCAAAGAACCAGCGTTGAATGTAATGAAACGCCATTTTCTGAGTGAGCCCTGGAGGCTTCCGGAATTTATCCAAACTGATATGTACTACATTAGTTTTGGGGGGTTATCAGTCACAGGAGTTCTTATGCCTACCAGGAACTACGAACCAGAACCTGATCTTCTCAGAGAGGCACAGGGAGCAATGGCCTATGAGCATTTTACATTTAAGGTATGTCATAATTGCCATCGACCACGGAAGGATCCAGAAAGGTAGAGAATCGAAACAGATTACTGTCTGGTTAACCTGTGCAATCTACATCCCAAATGATCAAAATAACTCCCCTAGAATGAAACCAAACAAGCAACCCTTCATGTGACTAGCACTTCCGCTCGTTAGCGCTACCAACTCCCCCCCCCCTACCTCACTGAGTGCTAGCCGGGAGGGGTGGGGGAAGATTGCGTTAATGAGGAGAAGAGTTAGTCGCATGAACGGTTGCTTGTTTGGTTTCATTCTAGGGGAGTTATTTTGATTTTTTGGGATGTTAATTGGCACAGGTTAACCAGATGGTGGTCTGTTTTGATTTGCCTACCTTCCAGGGTCCTTCCCCAGTCAATGGCAATTATAAAATACTTTAAATGTAAAGTGCTCATAGACCATTGCTCCCTGCGCCTCTCTGAAGAGATCAGGTTCTTACTCATGGTTCCTGGTAGGCATAAGAACTCCTGTGACTGATGACCCCAAACTAATATAGCACATATCAGTTTGGATAGCTTCAGGGAACCGAACGGGCTCCCCACAGAAAATAAGGTTGAGTGTAGATGAAATGTTCCTTTCCAAGCTAGCCACTTTGCCACTTCCAAGCCATCACTTGTTCTCTTGTCTTAACCAGAACCTCTGTAGGATGATAAAAGAGCAGTGATGTTCCCAAGGCACTCTTGCTGACAGTGTGAGTAGTAATATCTGATGGTGGTTTGGAATAACTCAGGTAGCCAACTAGCAGTTAATTAGAGCAATATTTGAAGGTATTTTGAATGTAGTTCAATAAACCTTCAAACATATCATTCTGAACTAAAATGATAATTCTCTGCTGTCTTTCTTCCTGAATGCATGGCCTGTCAAAGGCAGCTTAAAAAAATCCTTGCTGTGTAAAAGATGAAATGTTACAGAGAAGGGCACGTTACTTTAACATGCCAATGAATCTTATTTCTAACAAATCTTAAAGCAATTTAACTAATACATAGTGATTTATAAAATGTTATTCTCTACAATTAAAAATTTAACAAGTTTAAATACCTGCAACATGGGTGACAAGTAATTTTGTTTACAATACCTGTATTTAGTTATCAAAACTGCCACCAGGGAGCTATAAAGTTCATACTTAACATAATTTATAACACAATAATGTCCAGTAACTTTAGTTTTTTCTTGGAACTATTTTGAAACGTTGAGAAGAAACCTAACCCAGCCTAAAATAATAGAAAACATATTCTAGCAAAGATGTTTTTGAGACAATATATTCAAATGCAACTATGCAATTCTATTTATCATCTATTACATGGATATAAATTTAGTAAGTTTGGTGTAGATCCAGCATGCTGTTGCAATGACACCATTACCAGAACACAATAATAGCCCAAAACTGGTTCCTAAAATGGTTACCAAATACAAAATCATCCTTTACAATCAAATGTTCTGCTTTACAACTAAATGTTCTGCTTTATGGCCAAACACAAGTATTTTAAATTACACTAATATAATTCTGAAAAGTCATTATCAAGATACAGAATTACAAAAACAAATTAGCTGTAAACTAAAACGTTATACAAGAAACAAAGAGTGTAACACCATAAGGAATAACCCAACACAATATAATAAACCCTGATAATACCACTCAGTTATGTGCAAGATCAAGCTTATCTAATGATATCCTTCTCTTACCTGGAAAATTATAATTATCAAATTAGAAAATGTTGTCTCTTTACAAGAGAACTGCCCATATAAATTGTATTCAAATGAAAATACAAAGATAAAGCCAATATGTATAAAGAGTGCCATTTGTGTACATAAAGAATACTTTAAATAAAGGATACACAATGTAGTAAATATAATTTTTTTTAAATCATACCCCATTCATGTATCACAGACCTAACAATAATGCTGCATAAGTAAAATATTTATCTTGTTTAACAGCCAAAATTATTTCAAAGCAGCATTCAAACCACTGTTGAGCAGATAATATCTTACACAATTTTATTATCCTTTATACCAATGAAGGTTTATTCAACAGAATAAAGAATTTTTTTTAAATTTCAGTAAATTTCTGTTATTGTGACTCATCGCCTGCAAATTTCAGTAATTTACATTAATATTTACAGTATATTTTTAAAAGAATAACTCAGCATTCTGTAAATTCTAGGCCTCAATCCGGATGATGGTAGCAGGTTTAATGAAGATATATTTAATTTGTTTCTATATGGGTAATTACTTCACAAATACAATGAATTATACCCCCTCAAGTTCGAAAATGGGTGAAGTATAATTCATCATCAAAATACAAAATATACATGAAAACATTACAAAAGTTTTATTCATCGATATTCTTATGTCTAAGTTTATATAAATAAAAATAAAGCAAATTAACATAATAAAATAATTACTAACATAAAATCTGAACAGTTTTTGCATAAATCTTGTCAGTCTTGTAGATTTATAGAAATAAAGATGCACACAACCAATTATTGACAAAATTTTATAAAAAGTTAAATTCTCTAACATGACTGGTAACATACAGATGTACTTCTTAATATATCACAGGTAAATATTTTGATTGTGTAATTCTGATAAAACTTTTGCACAACAATTAACAAAACTAAATAAATGGCAACAAAAATAATAAATTTCTTCTTATACCTTATGCATTTTCATCAGCATAATTAACCTGAACAATGAGCGGAGAATTAGAAACCATGTGCTCACTGACCTTGACCGAATTGTGGGCACTTTTCATATGATGGCGTAAGCTCTGTTTGTGCTTAAATTCTTTGCTGCACCATCTACAGGAAAACCGTTTATGATCCGAGTGAACAGCCATGTGCTCACTGATATACTCTTTACGGGAAAATGTCTTGCCACATACTTCACAGGAAAATGGTCGTTCACCTAAAAATGAATTTTTTATTTTTTATCAGATCATGCTTGCAACTTAATAACATTATAAAATAGTGAATATATACAGTGTGAATAGCTTATATACAGTGAGAATAACTCATACAACCTTGATTCTATGCAGGGATGTGTTTTCCAAATAGGATCAAGAATGTTTACATAAAGATGCATTTCCCAACTGGGTAGCAAATTTAGATTTGTTCAAGTGTCCTAGTGGGCACCTGCATTTGGGTACAGGGAATGAGGGAAACCGGATCAACCCAAAGCACATCCCCAGCCACTGAAGCCGGTACTCGCAAATAACAGTGAAGAGCCGAAACCGGACACAACACACGATGCACCCCTGGCCTGACCAACCGAACATCTATGACCTAAGGACCCATCCGGAAAGCAAGTTTGTAACCGAACAAACCGATCACCAGGATCTAAAAAGAGCAGAAACCCCTGCACCGGAAGAGAACATGAAGCTCAGTGACCCGACCCCCAGAGATCAATGCCAACAGAAACAGAGCCTTGGAAAAACAATCTTGAACTGAAGGGGTCACCATAAATCGAGGAGAGGAAAAATAGGAGAGCACCCTGTCCAAAGACCAAGTCAACTCAGGCGGCCCATGAGCAGGCCAGAGATGGAACAAAGCACAAAAAAGCTTACAAAATAGGGCAGATGTGACATTCATCCCGAACGCAAGCTGGAGCAGCTCCACCAGTGTCGCAGAATACGAGGCGACAGTATTAAGCATCAAATGACGGTCCTGAAAAAGTCAAGACAGAAAGAACTAGACAACCCGATCAGAAATACTAGAAGAAACCTATGAAGAGAGAGAAAATGGGGGAAAGAACGCCAGAAAACTTCATACTGTCGCCGAGATGAGTCTCTCAGGTGAGACACCATCAACGAAGCCACCTGATCAGCATACAAATGGTGATAAACCCGCATCAAAAAGACCAGACACGAAGAATGGAGAAGACTGAACCAGCCGGTACCGGACCGGTCCACCCTGCTGGAAGAGGTGGAGCCGAGGAAAACGCACCGGGTTTGCACATCGAGCAAGCAGTGCCTTGAACCAGGGCTGGGCCAGCCACCAAGGGGGCCGTGAAGACTACTATTCTTTGGTAGGAATACAACCGAGCCAGAACCCGAAGCAACAGCTGGACCGGGTAAAAGTGGTACAGGTAACCCCACCTTGACAAGTCCTGCCAAAAGGCACCCACTGTAACAGCCTCACAGTCAGGGAAGGGCGCCACATAGACCAGGAGATGCCGAGACCATGCCGACCCGCGAAGAGATCCACATCTGGGAGTCCGTATGTCAGGCAGAGCCAACGGAAGGAGTCAGCATCGACTCTCCATTCCGAGGACAGGGGAATGACCTAAGACAGGCCATCCGCCAGGACGTTGGATACTCCCCGGATATGAACCCCATGGAGAGCCAAACCCTGAGAAGCCGGCAAATGAGCTACTCGAAGCAACCAGCTCCAAAGAGGCAAGGACCAAAGGATAACCCCTGTGGTTCAGGCAATGAACTAACCGAGAACAGTCCAAATGGAGTCGGATGGTCAAACCCAAAAAAACAGAACCCTCCGAAGCGACAGCCAAACCGCCGCGAACTCTTGCACCATACTGTGACCCCGGCGGAAGGATGGACCCCATCGTCCGTGGCCGGCCTGGTGAGCACTGGTCACAAAGCCCCAGCCAAGAGATGACGCGTCCACGAACAGGTCGATCGAGGACTCGGGTAGGCGCCAAGGCACCGAACCCACAAAACCCCTTAGAGGAAGCCAGCGATGCAGCAACCGACATTATATATTATATATATATTATATATATACAGTATATATATATATATATATATATATATATATATATTATATATATACAGTATATATATTATATATATATATATATATATATATATGTCGTACCTAATAGCCAGAACGCACTTCTCAGCCTACTATTCAAGGCCCGATTTGCCTAATAAGTCAAGTTTTCATGAATTAATGTTTTTTCGTCTACCTAACCTACCTAACCTAACCTAACCTAGCTTTTTTTGGCTACCTAACCTAACCTTACCTATAAATATAGGTTAGGTTAGGTTAGGTAGGGTTGGTTAGGTTCGGTCATATATCTACGTTAATTTTAACTCCAATAAATAAAAATTGATCTCATACATAGAGAAAAGGGTTGCTTTATCATTTCATAAGAAAAAAATTATAGTAAATATATTAATTCAGGAAAACTTGGCTTATTAGGCAAATCGGGCCTTGAATAGTAGGCTGAGAAGTGGGTTCTGGCTACTAGGTACGACATATATATATATATATATATATATATATATATATATATATATATATATATATATATATATATATCTGAAATAGCAAAAGAGAAAAGTTTATGGTAAACTTCGTGCCACTAACCTGTATGAGTACGTCTGTGTACATTCAGGTTGTCCCGCCTTGAAAAATTCTTTCCACATTCATCACAAGTGTAAGGTGCCTCTCCAGTATGAAGTTTTTCATGTTCAGTCAGCCGATCCTAAATTAAGTAAATTTTGTATAAGATACAGATGATAAATTTCTATGAATAATATAACACTACAATATAACTTTATTGGTACTAATGACTTGCTTCTCCATCACAAAACTATGGATGACAGGTCATTGATTTAAGACTAGCTGGTCACTAGCAAGTCACAGAGCTTTTAATTATTGCTGCATTCTTCCTAATTAGGAATATGCTAGTATTATTAATGATTATATTAATAAATAAATTAATAAAACCTTGTATTATTTCATGTATCATTTTCTAAAATCAACATTAGTTTAGATTTCCTAATGCGATTATCTTTAGATACAAAAGAACTTTCAGAATGTTTTGGAGGTGCCATGCAGGAAAACTGCAATCAAGATAATGTGCATACATAGAAAAACCACAAGTCACAGGCCAGGAGTAATGATTGCAGATGCATCACAACATTTGTCCCAAACAAATGATGATCTCCAACCTGCAACATCCCATTTCAAGCACTGCAAAGGAAAAAACCCTTCTCTACTTCTCCAGTGCCTTTAGAAGCTGGTGTAAAAGAAATAAGTCGTGTAACTGTAGAACAACTAAGGGCCTACTGCAGTGTCAGGGGAAACTTGCAAATTTCAACGTTGAAAACAGCATTTTTAATTTTTCCTCTATCTTTAACAAAAGAATAATTAGTTTTGTATAAAACCAGCGCTGAATGTAATGAAACGCCATTTTCTGGGTGAAACCCGGAGGCTCTTCCGGAGCTATCTGAACCGATATGACTGTATTAGATGCTGGCATCAGTCAATGTGCATGGAGGTCAAGGCCTACTGGGGACCATTAGCCTGAACCTGGCCCCCTCAGAGAAACACAAGGAGCAATGGCCTTTAGAAAAAAACCCGTGTGGTTGGAAGCATTCTATGTCTGCCATCATTCTGCCAGGCATTCTGGGTGCCTGCCAGGTCAGGTACCCAAAAAGATAAGTGCCCCAAAATAAACCCCTATTCTGGTTAAAATATTGCTACTGAAAGCCAAACTAGTGAACAGAACTCCCCAAATGAAATCGAGCAAATGAGCATGATGTCACCCCGTCACCGTGTCGCTGTCTGCGCAACCCCCCCCCCTCCCTGGGAGGGAGAAGGGGGAGCCCCAGACCCCTGTGACGGCTATCTACCCTGCAGTTCTGAGGCTAGATGTCAAAACACGTGAAAAAATGCTGACCGGAGGGAGGGAGGGCTTCCTTGGGAGGATTTCTTGGGCTCTGTTCGGTCTTGGGTTGCAATTTTCTATGAGTTGGGGTCTGTTTTGGAGCTCCTACCTTTCTGGGTGCCTAACCCCAGTCGATAGCAGATATGAATATACTCAAAGAGTGGAGTTTTCATTGGTCATTGCTCCTTTTACCTTTCTGAGGGAACCAGGTTCTGGCTCGTGGTTCCCGGTAAGCATAAGAACTCCAAATGACTGAAGCCCCAGACTAATATAGCTAATATCAGTTCGATAACTCCAGGGGACCAATTGGGCTCCCAACAGAAATAGGCCCAAGGGAGTACTAGATTTAATAAAATATCTGATGTAATGATTCTAGAGCAAATTCACACTATACAGTATATTGGTTCTTAATTAATGAAATTCATTATTTTTATAATCCTGCTATATACCTTATCAGTATATGGCACAACATACTTAAAAAAACATTAACTGAACAGGCAGGTATTTTGGTGAAGTCTGCAGGTATATACTCTCTCAGAGTTTAGACACTGTACAGTACAATAAGCACACACAGTATCACTAATAAATATAATGAGACACAGAATAATTCCTGGTGCAATATGAACAAAAACCATTCTGATGTGATACAATATCTATTCCCCATTTGAGGAACACTAGTAAGATCACTTTGTAACTCACCTTGCGAGTGAATGTCTTTCCACACGTGCCACATGTGAACGACTGACGCTGGTGATGAGTGGCAATGTGCCGCTGAAGATTGGACCTGGTTGTCAGCAGCTTCAGACAAAATGGACATTGTTGATTCAGAATTCTGGATGATCCTTCCTTTTGACTATTGGGTACCAGTGCAGAGTCTCCATAATTGACAGCATCTTTGATTTCTTTCATTTCACTTGAATCATTCTCAGTGCACATTACTTCCAAAAAGCTTGCCTGAAATTTTTTCATTACATCACTGTAGTAAGCAGAAATTTCTTCTATACTGCAATGAATGAATATGTAAGAGAAATCCAATAAAAAGATAGAAGGTATGGGCCTGTTTGAAGATGTAGTATTCCCACGGACCACCACTATGTGCATCTAGCCTCATAATTGGTGGTATAAAGGTAGGAAGACTGAACGAGATCCATTCTTACCCCTGAGTGCATACCAGGCACTTGATATGGAGCTTCCACCTGCACAAAACCCAGAGAAAAAAAAGGCAGGTTCATGTGGATGTGTTGAACCATAAAGGAATAAATAAAGAACAAAACAAGCTAGAATTGATGAGTCCAACAGACGAATAGCAAGAGGCAAAAAAAGATGACAGTAAATGTAAAAATACTTCATCCAGAAACCCTGAAAATGCCATCAGGGAGAATTTTGACAAGATGACTGCTGAACCATATTGTCCAACATTAGGGATGCAAAACAAAGGACAAAAGACCTAGGACAGGTCACAAGCTCCTTAATTTATCCCCTAAGAAAGAGTCCAAAGAAAGGCTTTAGTACCAAATGCAACAACATCATTATAAAAACCCATCATAGTAAAGCAACAAATGACTGCTTGGAAGAAAAATAATGAAAAACAAATGGCCTCATTTATGTTAAAAAAGGGACAAAATGGTAGGAAGCAGAAATTGTTCTCAACCCCATACACAAAATCAGGGAATAGCTCAATGTACCCTGGTACACAGCAAAAGAACCATTTGTCTTTGTACAAAGTACCAGAAGAACTGTAAATGAAGTACATGGGCACATACAGTTACACTACAGCTGTACACCTTGGCCTCCAGACAGAGAGAGAGAACAGGCTAGGTAAAAAGTAAGAAGAGAAACAGGGACACGAAAACACTAGTAAACTCTCGTGAGAAGCTTAATATATAACACAAATTAAATGTGATAAATATAATCACAGTGGGATATTACTTTCGGGAGCAAAAATGTGATAGCTCAGAAAAGAAACACAGCACAGGTATCTACACTTTACTTCTAAACAATCCATGTAAACCATACTTGAGATATTAAAATAAAATTAGCTACAAATACAAAAACTTTGGCATCAGAGCACATGTGTAAAATTTTTGGTGCAGTGCAATTATTTGTGATATTACCAAAGTCATACTTACCCAGTGACAAAGATTTTAAGTGGTTATAAAAATACTGCAGCCACCAAGTTGTTATAATGCCTTAAAACCTTCCTTTTACATCATTCATAAGCTGTATTTCTTTTTTAACTGTCCCTGATCAACCACGCTACATTACTTTTACAAGACTGCGAGTTATAAGCAGGGCTCTACATGATCAGTGTTGTGAGAGTTGATCACTTGGAACTCTCTGAACAGAAAATTTATTGCTAAAATATAATGAGCCCAAGATAAAATTATTATGCTATGGCCCCAAAGACAGCTGAGCAAACAAGATTGAGAAATATTGCCCGACCAGCTCTTCATACACCACCTGCTTTATTTCCTTTACAAATACATTTCCATCTCATCATACAATATTTTTCTAACTTCTCTTGTCTTCATCATAGGATAATCTTCTTTCTTTCATTACTGACTTAACTTTGTACATTACCACAAGAATTACATATCTATACAATAAGAGAGAATGTCAGTTTACCTGTTGGTTTGCCTATCCAAAGCTGGTGGCCAGACGTTTGGGGTTAGTCTGGCCCAAATTTGTAGGGGAAATGGTGTGGGGTACAGGATGAACGAAGGCTGATCGGGGTAGGCCTAAGTTAAATTATTTAATTAATATTTGTAATTATTGACACCCCCCTATCCAATTTTCATGGAGTCAATTGTGGTCCAATGTTAAATATGGGTTGTTAAACCGTGAGGTTTTTTATAGCAAGATATTTTCCGAGACCCATAAAGTACTGTAGTTTCATTGCTTCTAATAAAATATTTTCTGAGAGAAAGGGAGGGAAGAAGTGGAGAGAGGGGGGAAAGGGGGACAATGGAGATGGAGAGAGGGTGCATGGGGAAACCATGCAGATGGGGACATGGGGGGGGGGGGGGAGATGAGGATGAATGGAGGGACAAAAAGGGGGAACCAAAGGGATGGGGACAAGCGGATCAAGGGAAAGATGTGAAGAGAGAGAAGGAATTGGGTGGGGAAGAAACAGACTATCCTGGGTATCGCCAGGTACCCCTCTTAGTCAAAATATAAAAAAAACTTGATGCTGTGCAAGCAATTTACTTACAAGATTTGAATCCTTTGATGATGGTGCTTGAGGTAACAAATCTTTTTCTTTACTTTTCTTATCTTTTCTCACTACTGATATATTCTCTCCTTGTTCTTCAACATCAATTTTGTCATCTTCAAATCCTTCGAATTCATCATCATCCAGATCATTTTCCTCTTTGATATTATATGTTTCTTCCATTTCCAGTTCTTCCTCTTTGATCTGTATTTCTTGTTCTTCAGTCATAACAAGTTCCTCCTCATCTTTGTCTGTTGCATTCTCAGGATCTGGTGATTCTTCTTTTATTTGATCAGAGTCCATTTTGTCCTGTAAGTGTAGAACAACTATCAACATATTAATCAGACAAGCTTAGATATGTTGAGCAAACCACTCACTAGAAAGTGAAGGGACGATGATGTTTCGGTCCGTCCTGGACCATTCTCAAGTCGATTGTTATCTTCGACTTGAGAATGGTCCAGGACGGATCTAAACGTCGTCGTCCCTTCACTTTCTAGTGTGTTGTTTGGTCAACATATTTCAGCCACGTTATTGTGACTCCTCGTCTGCAAGCTTAGATATATAATCACTATCTTAACTTTCTAGCATCTGGAATGGTTCTGATCTATCTCTCCCTTCTAGATTTTTTTGTAATTTTTTATTCAAAAGAAAATGTAAATCCTACAATATTTTCTTACAAAATGGAAGATCTTCAAGCATGGAGGAATAAGTTAACAACAAAACCTGGTTAACTAGCTATGTGTTGGCACAGAGTGTGTGAATAATGAATGTGGGCCAGGATCTGACCATTGTTTATAGCAACCTCTCACACAAATTTTATAATTCATTTTAAGAATTTAACACAACTTTATATATGCACAGCATTGATGAACAATAATCTTTACAAATATTACACTAAACGTAAATGAATTACTGCATTACTGTACCTATACACTTGTCGATATTTACAAAATTTAAGCACATCTCACCTAGTACACACACAACAAACACAACAGCCACGTTATTATGACTCATCGTCTGCACAACATACTCTTACCTCTTCCCAGACCAGACACTCGCACTCTTCCTAAGAGCACACACTCTCCCTCCTTCCCAATATACAGTATACTGTTCACACTCATTCTTCCCCAGTACAAACACTATTTGACATACCAAACTCTACCTTTCCCCACTCTCAATTTGTTTTATGAAAATGCAGAACAGTTGGTATATAACATATTTTGCCTAACCACTGTTGGCATCAATTAGAAATTCATTAGTTAAATTACAGTACATATATACTAGTATTTATTTTCATTTATTATTATCTGTTCTAATACTATACATTATTTTATTAATCATAACAAAACCAATTATCTGAAATCAAAGTTTAATGTATTTTTTGTGTGCTGAATGTGTGCTGTTGTTTGAGAACACGGTACCACAATCTGTAGGAGTGATTGAGAAATAACTTATTTAGCATTGTAGCAGAGATAATAACACAAATAAATATATTAATAAATATTTAACATTTATATTAGGAAATAAACATAATGCTGATAAAATAAACCAAAACCTTTAAAAAAAAGTAAAAAATTATTGTGATTAACAATAATTAAGCCTGTAGGACATAGTCAGTTTCTTCTTGAAAAAAAAAAAACTCACAGTAAATGCAATGTCATTGCCCAGGACGAAAGAATAAATCATTGACAATTTCCAAGGTATTTGTTTAAGTGCCAGCAGTGTGAAATGCTCTACCCACAGCTGTTGTACACTTGGAAAAGCACCACAGTTGTCACAGCTTGGAGCATGATTACCAGTAAACATTTTGTAAATCTATGCATTTTGTAGGTGTAATCAAAATATAAATAAGTGAGCACAATTACTCACTGATATTGCAGTTAAGAGATACTACCAGTGATTGTCACCATTTATATTTTCCATAGCTTGTTTGGACTAACAGTGCTGCCAGATACAAAAGTACCTATCGTAATCCCTCATTGAAAAATTATCAAATAGAAGGAAACCTAATGAAGAGCTCCAGGTTGACTCTGGCATTTTTAGCCACTTCATCATCACCTACTTATTACAGTACAGTACAGTACTAGAAATTCTAACACATGCTGGATACCAGCAAAAATTTATTAAACACTCTTTAACTCTCGGCTAAAAGCAACCACTCTACAATTTATAAAATAAGTAGGTGCATCAAGTTAAAAGATTCCAGGGATTGAAGTGATGGTCCCTCAAACACTTCCTAAGACAAATCTCATTCCCCTCAGACTTTAGTACTTCCAGTTTGGCTCAGATTGATCGAGTTTTCTCCATTGAGGCTGGGTTTTTTCTTAAAGACCCCATTAGTCCATACATGAAGGAACAAACACAAGAGAATAATTCTCGATCCAACTCTTTAGTGACTGATATAAGAGACATTCTTCTGCACATAAAAACCTAATCTAAGCTATAATGAGATATACTGATAGCCATCTCTGCGACCTCCAGTGTGTCCTTTTGTCAGGCCTTTAGAGTGGTCCTGTTCAATCTATTATCTTGTTGAGCTGCTTATGAAGCCACCTTTTAAATGCATTCTTACACACTGAAATATCAGTGCTGACATTCTCAGTTCTCAGCTGGTATGAGGTCTAAAGAATTTCTCCTCTTCTTCGATGAAGATCTGAAGTTTATAGTTCAGTTGACTTGTGAGTCTGACCCTCAAGACTGGAAAGAAGTTGCTTACTGCTGTTCATCAGACACCATGACTTCATCAGCAGAAGCTGTGCTTCATCTGGCTTACCAACTTCCAACTCTTGACTGTAGCATCAAAATGGTTTAATCTGTTGGCATGCAAGTGTCTATATCTGTTTCACTCAAGATCAAGGATTTGCTATCTCCCTTCCAGGAGGTCATTGCTGATAGGTCAGAGCATTGGGTAGAGTAATCAGTTTCTTTCCAAACCTACATGGGGTTTACTACCTTTTCCTTCTTAGGCTGAGCTAGGGCTCACGACTTCTGGCAATAGCACTGGATGGGTTGGGATGCTGCTCCTGGGTGGAGCTCCTCAGCCAGCCTTCCTGTTCTCTGGTAGGGATGCAGTGCAGTTAATGGCACTAACAGTGGGCAATGAGGCCTGGTTCCCTTTGTCCCCCCTCTTGGTGTTGTTGGCCAAACTCGATCATAATTACTTTTGGCTTATTGTTGTTGGCTACCTATTCAAGAAAAAATCCTAAATCACAGCATTCAAAATATATTTAAAAATCAAACACATTGTATAAATGGAAAACTAAAAAAAGGCACAGACAAAGGATGGAAATGGATTCAAGGCATTCCACAAAATATCTACATGAGGTGGATGAACCTGGATAAATAAATAAAAAAAAAATCATACTTCATTCTGTGAATCATTTTCAGAGCAGTTAGTAGAATCAGGTATACTTCTACTATCACCAGCTTCAGATTCCTGACTGCTTTTATCCCATAAGCCAAGACCTTCTCTTAAAGGCAGTCTTACAGATGGTCTTATCAGTTGGGGTGGTTCTGATGATGATAGAGATGTTGCAGATGAGGAAGGAGGGGGATTGAGTGCAGTGGCTGAGGATGTTCTATGCGTGACTCTTCTAGGGTGCTTGCGAGAAATATTGCTATAAAGATTTCTGTTATCATCTTCCTGAAGTTTCCTCTTTGTACTAGATTGCAAGATTTCTGAAAAGTACATTAATTGTATGAATCTACACAAATGATCATAATAATACATGTATCTGAATATTTATTACAGTATAACAAAGATGGCCATAGAAAAATTGGAGATCAATGCAAATTGTTATTTAATTCCCGAGACAAATTTAGAAAAACATCAGATTGATTCAAGAGGTTGTAGAAGAAATCAAAAGATATCCAATGGTAACTACTTGTAATATATTAAAGCATTATGATCAGATAAGCATGAACATGTCCTTCATGCAGAATAAGGAAAAGAAAACATGGAAGGACTTAGTATACATACAACACAGTTTGAGATGTAAATATTAGTGACAATGTAATGGTAAAAAAAAAAATCAGTGTTTGTGAACCCCTCTGGAATATTCCTGGAGTGGGTTCTGGGGGTTCTTATTCTTAGGTAATAATTATGACAGTTGGATGTATCTCCAGTGAATAGTCACTTGTAATCCCCCATGAGGAACATGCAACAGAAGAAGGTATTCCTAGTCTAAACTACTCCATGCATATGAGATGTAATCTATCTCAAACTTAATTTGTACTTGAACTTTGCTTTTATTTATATTATAAAGTTACTTTTCCAAGTGATTTTTCATATTAAAATGAGAGTAAATGCATGATCTATAATTTGCACTATTAAAAACATAGTTAGCACAGCCAGAGCATATAAAAAACTGTTGAAGGTAATAAAATGCCACTTTCTGGATGAGACCCGTTGGCTCCCAGAAGCTGAGATAACTGAGGGAGTTATCTCACTGAGATAACTCCCAACTAGTAGGTCACATCAGCCATGGCATTCTGTTTGGTTTACCAGGAACCAAAACCAGAACTTGGCCTCCCTCACAGAGGTACAGAGATCAGGTGACACTCTCCCACCCCACTGGGAAAGCATCCAGAAAGTCAGCGAATCAATACTGACTACTGCTCGATTCAAATACACTGAAGCTCAAAACCACCAAACTAACTCCCTCAACAATATAAACAAATGATCAAATATCTTGAAACAAGTGAGAGCTCATAACTACCTCCACCCCCTCTACCATCTGGGAAGGGGAGAATGGAGATCCAGGTCCCTCCAGTCTTGTACACCAGTTATGGAGCTCTAGGTCCCTCCAGCTTTACACACCCATTATGGAGCTCCAGGTCCCTCCAACCTTGTAAAGTCTGAATTCAGACACTGAATCCAGACTGAAGTCTGGGGTCGGACACTGAGCAAGCAGTAGCTGAAACCAAGGCTGAGCTGATCACCAAGAAACCAGAAGGACTGTCTTCCCCTTGGTGGACTCCAACCTTGCCAAGACCTGGAGCAGCAGCTGGACCAGAGGAAAGAATTACAGAAGGCCCAACTGCAATCAGTCCAGCCGAATAGAGAGGAAGGTGCCGATTCCAAGCCAATGCAGAGAGATCCATGTCACCGCACCTCAACATCTCACAGTGCCACAGAAGTTAGCAGCTTCGATGTCCCACACCGTGGAGATGGGAGGGAAATTAGACAGATTGTCACGAAATTAGTGAACACTCACTAACATGAACAGCACAGAGAACTGAACTTAGAAATTCCAGCAGATGAGCTACCCACAGCATCCAGCCCCAAAGGGCTGGATGCTTTGAAGACCGCAGAAGACAGAATGGATATATGAAATATATCCATATATTATATCCACAAGGCAATCCATATATTATATCCATAAATATATCCACAAGGCAATTTCATATTTATATATGATATATATCCATAAATATATCATATACATAAAGTATATGAAAATGCCCTCATTAGAACGGACAAAGGTCCAATTGGGATTCAAAGGAACTTAAGGCCTCCCTCTCCGATTCTCCCAAACCACGAAAACCAAACACAAAAGCTCTGGGGCAGAGCAAGAGTTCATGCCCATTGCCTGGGAAAAATGGAATCCAAAGGAGACGCTTCTGAGGAAGGGGTCATATAGAAGGAAGAAAACCCCCAAAACCTTGGTGGGACTAAGCAGCTCAACTACCTCTGTGCCCCGAAGTGGAAGGAGCCACCCCCAGAGGTGGTCAGGCAACAGCCCAAGCTAAACCCAGCCCTGACTCCATAACCCTCTGACATTTTGGAGACAGAGGGGGGGGGGAGAGGGGGAGAACAAAACCCGGGGTTACCACAATCAAATGGGAAGAAAAAGGTGGTGTGGATGAAGCAAAGTTGGAATTCACCAACACCTACAAATCCAAGTCCCTAAAACAAGATGGCAGAAGCTGACTGATATGCTTGAACAACATCAGGAGAGTTAAAAGAGAAGAACCACATAGCAAGAGCAAACCCCACAAGACTCGGAGTCGAAGGTGTCACCAACCCAACAGGCAGAATGGAGGAAACAGAAAGAATAATCGTCTCCCTGTGGCACGGGCAATGAGCATGCATAAGACAAGAGCAGGTACAGAGGGAATATCTACATTGAAACCTAGGGAAGAATCCCAGGGGCCCAAAGGACAAGCCAAGCAGGACACTCAGTTACAGGGATACTCGCTGGATATTATAAGTAAGCCAACACAGTCAATGCGGATGCATGGGTAGACCTCGGTGTGGTATGTGAACAAGTGCGTGAGCCATCAGTGTGCCCCAACCAGCCAAAGTACTCGCTCCTGACCTGAAGCATAGACAGAGCCCTCATATACCCAAAGGGAGGTGCCCCACCATAGTGGTCCAGCCTTTAAGAGTGAGCTCCTGAACACACCAAAGAGAACTTTCAGTGCAAGGGCAGCACTAGGAAGCACTCAGGGAAGATAACCTTGAGCATGCATCTCCAAATACACTATGAGCCCCCACACAACACAAAGTCAAACAGAAACACACTTGTAAGAAGAGCTAAAAATCAAGTAAAATACCAAGCAAATGGCCACCGCAGGACAAAATCAAAGGATTCCCAGCACTTCACTTAGAAGTGAGCCCTGCACAGCCAAGAGACAACTTGGAAGTCCTACAGCATTCATTCACACATGCCTGCATCAATGACAGAAATGTTGTGGAAGGAGGTAGGGGACCAGGAGCTCCACCATCTCCATCCACCAACTGGCAGGGGATAATGCTAATGAGTTTGTACTTGTTTTGAGAGAGTTGATTATTTGTTTACATTGTCGTTAGAGTTCATTTGGCAGTTTTGAAGCTTTGGTCTCTTGGAATCTAGCAGTGGTCAGTATTAGTTCGCCAATTTTCTGGATGGGTTCTCAGTGGGTTGGTGGAATGTCACCTGCTCTTTGCATCTTTGTGAGGGAGGCCAGGTTCTGGTTCTGGTACCTGGCAGACCAAACAAAACTTCACGATTAACATGGGCTAGTAGTTGGGAACCATCTCGGCGAGATGGCTTCAGGGAGCCACAAGGGTCTCCCTCAAGAAAATTCAGATTGGATACCATAGAAGGGATCCGAACCAAATCATTCCATTTAGAGAAGGTTTCCAGTGATAATAATAATAATAATAATTAAGAGAAAATTTTACTGCTCCTTGCCATGTCTAAGGTTTACTTATCAGAAACTGCTGGGTCTGCAATATCAATGATGAGAGTAAATAACTGCTGTGAAGCCAGCAAATAACAGATGATCATACCAGACCCAAATAAAGGCTGCATAATCTATCTGCAACTATCTACTACTTAGTGCAATCCTTAGTGATTTACTAATGTGACAGAAATTTCAGGTTACTTTCAGATTACTTACTGTTAGCATGTACCCTAAATGAATCCGAGAGAATTAATCCTTTAACTTGAAGTCCTTCTGCTGTACGCAAAAGGGAAGCTAGACCCGAGTGTGCTACTCTCACTGTTCCTGCATACATGTAGTCTAAGATGCCTTCCAAATCCTCCTTTGGTACATCCTGCATGAATATAATTATAATCAGATATATATACTGTATTTGGTATATAGCGTAAGGCAGGTATCATTTTAAACTATCACCAAAGCCTCAATGATTGTTACTTTCTACAAGCTACTTGCTAAGTGTTTCACTTAGGTTAGTGGCCTTACAACCAATTTGCAAACACAGATTGTACTTCCATATGCAAAAAATGCTAATCACCTCCTTAATGCAAACTCAAAAATAATAAAACAATTTAAGCTCTTAGAAACATTATATAGAAAAGATACCTTTATCATGATACACATGACCCAAAATGCACAATGAAATCACATTAACATGATGTATTAATGAGAGTACCAAGTGTGCAGGTTGGAACCCTCCTCATGTCTCCAACTGATTTTCTCATGACCCTGAATGGAGCCCACACTTTGTTAACCTTTTAGCAGCATTAGTCACAATTGTATGACCATAACAACACAGCCGTCAGAGCGGCGTACTTCTGGACATCATGCGCACGAGGGTAGACTGCAGGCTGACTAGCTTTAATGACATTGCAGACAACCTGAAAAATACGAGCCCTGGAACAGGGGAACCATGGAAACTATCAACCCACAACAAGTACATCAAAGTGGCGTAAAGCCGCCACCAGACAAAGTGAACGATGCACACCCGGCCGAACCAACCAAGCATCCACAACTAAAGGACCCCCTCCAGAAGTTTGTCGACTCATTCTTCGCTGGAAAAGAAAGGGCCTGGCTGCAACCGAACAACATGATTACCAGGACCAAAAGAACAAAACCCCCAGCACCGAAAAAGAGCAAGAAGCACACCCACCCAACCACCAGAGATCAAGGAATGCAAAAACAATGCTTTCCAAAAATAATCCCAGACTAAAGGGGGCCCCATAAAATGAGCAGAAGAGAGAAAAGAAAGTACCCAGTCCAAGGACCAGGCAGGCTCAGATGGCACATGAGCTGGCTGGAGGTAAAACAAAGTACGAGAATGTTTGCAAAATGGGGTCGAAGAAATATCGAGCCTGAATGCAAGCAGAAGCGGCTCTGCCAGCACTGCATCCTAAGAAGCGATAGTATTCAGCATAAGATGCCAATCAAGGGAGAGCCAAGAAAGGACAAACACATTCCTGTTGAAAATAGAAAGACAACAACGAAAAAAATAAAAATGTCGAAAAAGACTGCCAACAAACCTCGTACTGTCACTGAGAACACTGCAAATGGGACACCATCAATCTAGTCACCTGATCACAATACAATTACTGATAAATTCACATAAAATATTCCAGATGCAAAAAACGGAAGAGAAGGTCAAACCAATGAGGTATGTCACTCCCCTGACCTTCTGTTACAAATGGAGCTGTGGAAAGATGCCCAGGTTTAGATACCGAGCATGTAGCACCCGAAGCCAAGGCTGGGCCGGCCACCAAGTAGCCAGAAGCATCACTCTTCCTCTGTAAGATTCTAGCCCCACCAGCACTCTGAGCAACAGCCAGACCAGGAAAAACATGTATATGCACCCCACCTTGTCCAGTCCAGCCAAGAGGCATCTATCAAGAGGGCCTCGCAGTCGGGAAATGGCACCTCATAAAGAGGCAGATGCCAGCGAGACCTCGACAAAGGAAAGGGCGCCAATGACCTTGGCCAGACTGGTGATCACTGGTCATAAAACCCCAACTGACAGCAAAGGCATGAAGACGTCGAGTGAGAGAGGGGAAAGGTACCATGGCACCCAACCCCCAAAAAACACGAAGAGGAAACTGCCAACACAGCAACCAGCACAGGAACTTCAGAGGATGCACCCAGAGATTGCAAGAGTAGTGAAAGGGGCTGCCCTGACGGTACCAGAACAGCCTTAGACGCCAAACCCTGCCCAATGGATGTACCAAAAGGGCAAAGCTCAGGCTCCCGCACAGTTGATTGAGCCGCCGTGTCATTCGGGTCCCCCTCAACACCAACAGCAAGGCAGGACTGCAGTCAGATTCAGGTTCCAACCGAGAATCCCAAGTCAGGTTCAACCAGGTCTGAACCTGAAGCGGAACCAACTGGGACTTCCACCAGTTCACCAAGAACCCAAACCTGACAAACTGAGAAAGAACCAGATTGGCTAGCAGACAAGCAGACCAGCTGGGAGCTCAAACCAGCTAGTCACTGAGGTAGGGCAAAACCCGAAGGTGTCTTGCCCTACCTTTCACTTGAAGGTGAAAATGTGAAGTGCCAGATTCAGCCCGAATGGGAGAGCCCGAAAGGGCAGCTTATCGCCCCACAATGAAACCTAACCATTCCCTGAACCCCGGATGTATAGGGAAGTGCCAATAAGCATCCTTGAGGTCCAAGGAAATCATCCATATGCCCGGCTCAAAAACGAGCTGTACCTGGGACAATGTAGTTATCCAAAGGGAGGGGCTATGTATCAACCAGTTCAGACGTAAAAGATTTATAATGTATCAAAGATCCACACAATCCCATTTTGGGACTGGAAATGAGCTGGGAAATCCATTGAAGAAACGAGGTCGTTTTGACCATGCCCAAATGCACTCACTCGAGTCATCTTGATGAAGGGAAGGAGAAGAGGCCTGCTCCACCAGTCCTGAACCCCCAATGCAATGCATTAGATGTGAGTATATGTTTACCCTCTAAGTCATGCCAATGGCTAAGTTGTTTCCGAGTTTCTTATTGTTTAATAGGATAAGCACTCCATGCTGGCACTGCATATTCCAGAATTGACCTGACAAATGTGGTATACAAGGTTCTGAATGATTCTTTGTTCAGATTCTAAAGGCAGAGCTTGTGTTAGCAAACCTTGCAAATGAAGTTAATGAGATCAGTTTGATGTGGGCCTTGGAAAACTGATTCATTGTAATTAAATATCTCTCTTCTGTCTCCCTTTTTGTATATTAGTCATAAAGCAGGGCCCAAAGAGGTAGAGTTCACATCCCACAGACACTGAAATTTATGCACTACCAGGTAAAGAACACAGCCAAACCTACAGGAAATGTAACAATAATTATGTTAAATTAGATATAGAAAACAGGTTACTATGACTGCAACCCTGCTACTGTAACCACGAATATGTAAACACGGGATTTACTATTACAGTATTTAATACTATCCCCAAGTTCAGGCACTTTGAATTTTTGCTCAATAAAATACTACTTATTAATTTAAATCATGGATTCTATTACAATTATTATTATCCCCTACCACTGCAAATTTAATTAGAACCATATCATTAAAATTCTCACTTTGAGGTAGAGGATTGGATGCTTGTTTGGGTGGGCACAAAGCATGGTCCGGAGATATTCACTACATGCTGATAACACAAACTTGTGAGCTGGGTACAGGCTTCCTCCACAGGCAATAGTCACATCAGAATAAGTTTCCTGACAAAAATATTTTTTAGGAGTTAAAATATAAACTTCATAATACTATATAAAGGTCTATTACACCTGACAGGGCAGTAAAGATAGATTCAATGTAGAAAGAGTATAATAAACATTAAAACATCAGTACACATTCATTTCTTATTCAATAGCAATTCAAGATGAGTTTATGTACGTCACATAATGATTTTATAATGGTCTGGTTATTATACAAAATTGTACACATTGTAAGCAGCATACAAGGATTGTTGATTCCAATGTCAGGCTAAGGCAGCACCGAGAGGTTGGCAGCTTCTAATATTCAGGAGTTCTAATACTATAAGCATGTTAAGACAAACGCAAATGTAAGGACTTTCCTGTTTGTCCAACGTACACAGAATCACAATCATTGCAGGGAATCAAATACACACAACCTGCTGTATCAGGAGAATTTTTTATTAAATTGGACTTGATCATACTATTAGTGAACACCATATTGATATTAAGTTTCTTTATCGTACTAATAGTACTAATAGTTCTTATGGTACTAATAGTACTAATAGTAATAGATCGTACTAATCACACTATTAAGTGGGATAGCACGAGCCTGTGTTCAGGAAATGGTCTTCAAAAGATCAGCCTTCAGTTCAAACCCCACTGACCCCTGCACAACCAACAGCTCAGGAAACTTAGGGGCAGTAACCTGTGAAAGGGTCTGTCAAGTGCTTAGTGAATCCAATTGTTTTCTGTCTGTTGCACAAAATGAGGAACTTTATAAAATACTCATCAGAGAATAAATGTCAGTAACATGGCTGATTATGACTTGATAAGGGTCCAGGAAGGACCAAATTGTTACTTTAGTTTCAATTGTGCTGATTGGGTTACTTATAAAATACAATTTATATATGAAGATGTCTTTGTTTTTTACTCTTTTAATATTAATTCATATTCTATATTAAACATACCTCAGTGCGAAGACCTGAGAGCAGTGATGCAAAGGTCGAGAGGTGATTGTTCCACCTAAGAGCTAAGAGCTCCTCTTCCATGCTGAAGTCACTTGTGAAACTAATTTCTCTTCCTAATTTTCATCTCTCCTGAAATATTAATGTTTAAAGTAGGACAGCGTATGAAATGTCTAGTGATGGAAAACACTTATGTAATGATAATTATGATAATCAACTTTGTACTTTAATATATATATATATATATATATATATATATATATATATATATATATATATATATATATATATATATATATATATATATTTGAGAGAGAGATAGAGAGAGAGAGAAAGAGAGAGAGAGAGAGAGAGAGAGAGAGAGAGAGAGAGAGAGAGAGAGAGAGAGAGTAAGAGAGAGAGAGAGAGAGAGAGAGAGAGAGAGAGAGAGAGAGAGAGAGAGAGAGAGAGAGAGAGAGAGAGAGAGAGAGAGTGTGAGTGAGTGAGTGAGTGAGTGAGTGAGTGAGTGAGTGAGTGAGTGAGTTAGTAGAGGGCTCATGTTTAGCATGCCTCTTGCCCATGTTATGTTTATTAAAGATTTGATAACAGTAGGCCTTTACTATGTTTTATGGAAATTTAAAAAACAAATTTTTATTATATGACTTAGAATAATTCACTTATTAATTTAAAGTTTAAATTTGTTATCAATATCTGTCAAAAATAAAAATAAATAGCTGCAAATTTCAACTGCAAAACATGTTTATTATTTCTACAAATTGTTACTACAGTATTTTATTTTGGGCAAAACTATTAAAGCCTTCTTAAATTATGTTATTCTTATTTATTGCTTTTACCAACTATAAACAAATATCTTTTACTATAACTTGCATATCCATAACGAGAATTAATTTGATCACATTGAAATTAATAACTATACAGTGTATGATTATACAGCACAGATGTGTTAGATGAATGAACTGGGCTGTTAAATTAACGAAATGGTCAATTTGAACAATTACTGTAATACAATTAATAAGAGAACTGTCAACAACTAAAGAGACCGCAAGGCTAGACGTTAAAGTTCCCAAGTAAAGCCCCCGAGTTGGTTACAGCCCCGTTCCTGTGCCAGGTAAGTCCACTCTGGGCTCACCATAGCCCGTGCTAATTGGATCATTTTGTTCCGAGTAGCTGAATCTCAAAGAACAACAACAACGACCCCCCGAGTCAAACAAGCCCACAATACCTCACACCCGCCAGCCGTACGCAGCACGTCCCGAAGTGGCCCAACGACAGCTTCCCTCACTTTATGTAACTACAGCAACCTTCACCACAACAACACACACGCACGCATATGCACCTGAAGGTATAGTTCTGAATCAAATTGCTCAATCCATCCAATAAATCAAAAGAAAGTTGAGGGTATAAGTTCTGTGAAGCCCAATTGAGCACATGCACGGAAGTAGCATGTAAACACAGCTGACACTGCGTTCGGGTGATTGGCTTTGGTTTTGCTTTATTACGCCTCCCGAAGATTAGTCCAAGTGCTCACTAAGCGCTCTAACAATACTACCCCATAACAAAATATGTTATTTATGGCGCTATAAATAAGTATAAGTGTGATATGTATCAAATTATGTTGATCATTGGTTAGAAATCTTCTACTTAGAGCTGACGGACGAGTTGATTTTTTGAGAGAATATCTATGATCTACTTTTTATTAATTAAGTATATAAATTTATTGATGTAGAAAATTCATATTAAAATATTTATGTGCAAAATGTTTCAAGTAGATAGATAATTGTTTCCTCTAAGTACTCCCACAGTCATGATGCTCAGACTGAAGACCCGTCACATGACTGACTCCACGCATCACTCATGACAGATTTAGAAAATATGAGATATTACCGGCTATATATTTTTATGACAGGTGATAATATGGGTCTAGAGGTATGCGAAAATCTACCGTAGATTTTAGGTGAGAGAAACATTAATACTTTTATAGTCGCGTGTGCGTATGTTAATAATTAGGGCTGCCTCTGGAATCTGCCTTGAAGTTCTTGGCGTATAATATGTTTTTATTTATATATTTATATATAAAGAGTTCTTACATTCTTGTACAGCCACTAGCACGCATTGCGTTTCTGGCAAATCATTAATCCTAATTTTCACGCACACACAGGAAGCAGCTCGTAGCACCTGTCTTACTCTCAGGTACCTATTTACTGCTAGGTAACAAGGGCATCAGGGTGAAAAAAAACTCTGACCATTTGTTTCTGCCTTCCGCCGGGGATCGAATCCGGACTCTTAGGACTACGAACACCGAGCGCTATCCGCTTAGCCGTCAGGGCCCCCTGAACTTTGTTCTCAAGTTTCTCATAGGCTCTTGAGAACAACTGTATGCCTAACTCCCGGGTACGTATTTATTGATAGGTGAATAGAGGCATCAAGTGAAAGAAAACTGCCCAATCATACCTGTCCCGCCCAGGAATTGAACCCTAGAGCCCCAATTGTTAGTCGAGAGCGAAGCCAACTATACTACGAGACCCCATCATAAGTTTTTATATCATTCTTTCTATAGGTCCCAGGTGCAGACGAAGTAATTAGTCCAAGTTATCAGGAACGATATTGCATTTGATTTGCAATATTTGTCTAGTTGGCAATTGACTCCAATTCGGAAAACATCCATTCATTTCCAACTGTCCTTCGTGACCGAATACCACATATATCGTGGTTGCTCCCTTGATCCTAATTCATTGGCTGTCTTAAATCTCTATATTAGTGCCTCACTCCTAACTCTTCCTACTTCATTTCCTCCAGTACTAACTTAAGTAACGAGTTCTTCCCCATTACCAGCCATTTTATCACCCAATTCCCAATTCCAGTTCCCCAATTCCCGCTGGTTGATATTGGATGTTTGCAAGTTCTATATTTATTTTTCCCAATCAATCGTCTTGTTGTTAAAATTTAATTGATTGAATAACCCTTCTTGTTTGTTAATTATTTTGGGCCTATTACGAATATAGATGTTAGATTGATCCTAAATTAGCTTGTGGCCTGAGTATGTGTAGTTGAAATTGTAATGCCCCGTATTATCCCTTCAGTAGTTCTCTGACCTGTGGTTGGTTATTTCCACGTTAGTTTCCTGTTATAATGTTACTGTTTGCTACCCTCCATATTAAACTGGGTAGATTGAAGTCTCCAAGGAAGATAATGTCTGATACTGGATTTACAAGGTTATCAAAACTATTCTCTATTGTGTGTATCTGCTCTGTGAATTCCTCAAATGTTGCATCTGGGTTTTATATATTATAATAATAATTAAGCTTACATTTTCTACTTTAATTTCAAGTACCTCTACCACCTTGTTTGTAGCGTTTAAGAGCTCTGTGCAGACAAGTTCGTCTTTAATATACAGACTTACGCTTCCATTTTACCTATTGCTCTGTCAGATTTGTGAATTATACCTTGGGATCCAGATTTGATCCAAAGCATGAATAGCAGAAAATTTATGTTAATTTTCCCGAGAATAGTGAATGATCGTGTATTACTGTAAGAACAAAAATTAGTTTTGACATTTTTGTTTTCGAACTATTTAGCTAGGTGTATTTGGCAGGCAGTTCCAAAATTCACCACGGGGGTCAGAATGTGACCCTGGCACGGCGTTTCTTCTTGAAGTCTGGCGACCCCGGCGAGCTTATGCCCGTCCCCGACCCAAGACCATCTCCACTGCAAAATTGGGTGGGGCCGGGCCCCACGATCTGGCCGCCAACTTTAGACAGACAGGATGACAATCTCTCTTTTAGATATTGACAGATTACTAGGAGAGGATATCCAGCTTCATCCAGGTCTATTTCCCCCTTCTTCATTCCCCTTCTCTCATAATCTCTCCCTTTCCCTCCATCTATTCCCCCTCCACCCATCTATCCATCTTTTAATCCATTTGTTCATCTATCCATCCAACTATCCGTCCATATATTTATCAGTCTATCCATTTATCTATCCATCCATCTAACCATATATCTATCCATCTATCCATCCACCTTGTCTTCATCACTGTAATATCTTCCAACTCTAGCAACTTTTTTTTTATTATTATTAATACATGAGGTACATCTGCATTAGTGCAGCTACCCTAGACTATATGAAGTGGAGTACAGTGTGTCAAAAAAGCTAACTAGGTAATGCTAAAAAATCCCCATCACACAGGATGGTTAGTCATACAGAGGCATGTGATAGGCAGTCTGCACTGGCATACTCCGGATGCATTTTGAGGATATCAACACAAGATTGAATAAGGTAGCAGTGGTAATAAAAGTCTCCATCTCGCAGGATGGTTAGTCATACAGGGCCATATGTTTAGTAGTCTGCACTGGCAATTTTGGGTACACTGTGAGGATATCTTCAAGAATACGAGAGTGAATAAAGTAATTGCAAAGCTCCAGGTACCTCATGCCAACTGGTCTGAAAAGTCTAATAACCCATTTAAGAGTTTGTGGCAAACTCTACGTTTCTCATATTCCCGATTTCATTTCACAATTTCATTTCAAATTTTATGAAAACAGCACGTTCGGTTAGGGTTACAGACCGACATTCCTTAAGGCATTTACCTCAGGCCTTCCACAGACCACAACCCCCCCCCCCCCTGCACATTTGAGGGAGTCTACCCCAAGGCATCTGGTCTCCAGCTTTGGCCAAACAAACAGGCAGACATTATAAATAAATAAATAAATAAATAAATAAATAAATGTTTATTTAGGTAAGGTACATACATACAAGAGATTTTACAAAGATTGATGGATTTATAGATAGGGCTAGGACATACAATGCCTAAAGCCACTATTACGCAAAACTTTTACACTATTACGAAACTATTACGTTTCGGGCATGAAAAACATTAATGATTAAAGCTTAACACTAATTGAGTATAAAGAATAAAATGTGTTGAGAACAAATAAAAATAGAGATAAAAAAGAGGGGAACATGGCTGAAAAAGCAGCACAAATACAATTAGGTCGACAAACAGCGTTGTTTAAAAAAAACAGACATGGGTTGACAATAGAGGGGTAAGGTAGGTTACAGGGAATTTATTAGGTAGTGCTTCGTTTTTATCTTAAACTGGTTGAGAGAGGTACAGTCTTTAACATGGTTGGGAAGGTCATTCCACATTCTGGGTCCCTTGATTTGTAGAGCATTTCTAGTTTGATTAAGTCGTACTCTTGGAATATCAAAACTGTATTTATTTCTGGTGTGGTGCTCATGGGTTCTGTTACAACCTTCAATGAAGCTTTTGAGGTCAGGATTGGCATTACAGTTCTGCGTTTTATATATGTATAATACACATGAGAGAATGTGCAAGTGACATTCTCTCAGTATAGACTAGGAGAGGTACCCGGCAGTGCCCGGGAGTCGCCCCACACCTATTACACCCCCCTACTCCCCCCCCTCCCTCCCCACGTCGTGTCCTTGCCTCCATCTCCGTCCTCTTCCCTTTCTCCCCTCTCCTCTTCTGTCTCTTTTTCCCAATATGGGCTTTAACCTCGAACAGACAAATAATTCCATATATATATATATATATATATATATATATATATATATATATATATATATATATATATATTTTTTTTTTTTTTTTTTTTTTTTTTTAACCTAGAAGGGGTACCACCTCTGGTGCAAGTGTAGGGACCCATAGCCTCGGAGAAGAAAATAAAGAGTACTCAGACAAGACCTTGTGGATCCTCACTGAACACTTTGATATTTTCTTCTCCTACCACCCCTATTCTTTTGGTATGTGTGTATATTTATCTAACTTTATTTGAAAATGTCATTACACAAAAAAAGTTACAATATTGATTACATGCAGGGTGCAAGGCTGCTTGTCACAAGTTGTACAGCTCTTCCAGCTCCTCAGATGGCGGGCAGGAACCATGGATGCAGTGAGCATTTCCTCTCTGGATTGCCACACTAAGGCGCTGAAAAAGAAAACTGGCAGCTCTAGGGTCTCTAGTTGTTTCGATTAGCTTAGACCCCAACTCCTTCAAAAAGCTATATATATGCATATTAATTTTAGACTAATCTCCAGACGTCTGGCCTCTGAACGTACACACACAGACATTCTCTCTTATATAGATTATATAACAGCAAACGGCATCATCCAGTATCATTCAAATGGAATTTCACTAGAGGAAAAAAAGGTTTTATATATATATAATAAGTACCAATTACCAGGACAAAAATTTGTCAAAAATTACAACTGAAAATAGTGGATTGTTTAAATATGCATCAACTAATTAGGCAAATTTTGTCGTCCTGATACGATTTTAAAAGTTCAACTAATTATGGAGCTGAAAATGAACTTGTGTATTAATCTGTATTTTATGATAATGATTTATAATACACATTTATTATAGCCAGTATATTTTGAGCCATTAGATGCTAGTTACGGTGATGAATATGATGATATTAATGCTGAACTGTGGCGTGTAAATGTCTCCCCCAGC